ATGAGGACTTTGGAATCCATAGAAGAGAATCAGAAATTTTTAAGCATGTTTATGTTATATCTGATGAGACCACAAACCCTTACTCAGAGAAGTGGGTTAAAGACTGGAAGGATCCTTTCCATAACTGAAGTTTTACAAGCCCATCCCAGATCATGCGTGACCTGCATCAGGCACATGGTGACACAGCATAGCATTTTTTCCCCCACATAATGTCCCTGCCCCTCTGCAGGGCACAGAGCCACATCCAAGAAAGGAATGAATGCATCAGATGCTGCTATTTATGAGGCTGATTAGGTGTAGCTGCTGTAGCAGGTTTAATATATTGAGCGTATGCTTATATATTTACATTTTACTTTCCTTTGCCTATTATACTGTAGTTAAAATACCAGTGAGAAAATATGAACTGTTGCCTTATGATTATTCCTGAACAGATGTAAATCAGTGTCTTTACTCCCTGGATCAGGGTAAAAATTAAAATGCCTTGGAAAATGAATTTAAAAGAATATTACAATACACTGTCTGGTGGATTTGGGTTTTGTTGTTTGGTTTTTGTGTTGCTGGTTTTTTTTTTTGTTGTGGTTTTTTGTTGTTGTTCTTTGTTTGGTTTTGGTTGTTTTAGGGGGCTGTTTTCATTTTGTTTGTTTTGGTGTTTGGTTTGGTTTTTTCTCCTGAAGAAGCATTAAAGATTTAAAAGAAAGAGAGATAAATTTTTTAACTTCAGTGTTTTTGCCTTTAAGAATCATGCTATTGTGGTCCACTGCAACACAATACTTTGGCAAGTGCCAGAAAGCTGAAAAAAGTACAGACAAAAAAAAACTCAGGAGAGGGTAATCTTGCACAGTACAAGTATGGTGACAGATTAGAAAAAAATGTTTGAATAGTATTTGCAGCTGTTTGATTAAAGGCCATTATGCATTTAGTTTAAGTCCTTGGATGCTAACCTGGATAATTTTTTAATAGCTGTTTTGCTGATCAGAAATAATAATGGTTTTTATGTGCTATTCCTATCAGACCTGAAAAGCATTTTGGTAAATGATGGTGTAAACTTCAAGTGTGGAGACACAATAAAAAAACCCTCTTTTTAAGTAAAAAAAAACCAAACAAACAAAAAAGCCACTAACATCTTCGTAAGTAAAAATCAAACCCCAGAACAGCTTTTGAGCCTTAAAAACTAAAACTAATCTTATCACGTCAGAGGAACTGTAAATGTGTGCTGCATTTCAGTCAATATGACTGATTACCTGTCGCTTACTCAGCTCTGATTTCTTCCTGCTGTGTGCTTTGGAACCATCTTTGTTTTAGAAACTCAGAGGCAGCATGTATGAATTGCTAGCTAACCTCTGCCTCATTTTCTTCAATGATTTTGGGACTAAGCAATTAGCCCTGTCAGTTATTTCAGCTTAAAAGATTCAACAGCATCATCACTCATTTATTTTTATCATCCTTACTGATGCCACTCAACATGAAAGAAAAAGTCCTAACCAAGCAATAAAGCAATATTTATTGTTGCCAGATTTCCTATATAAAAAATATACCAACTTGCAGCAATATATGTGACTAAAATCAGCATGGGGAGCTAGTTTCAGGGTCCAGTTTTGTACTGCAGTTTGAGGAAAGTCAGGGCTTTCTCCTTTGGTACATCCCAAAAGACAGGAGCAAACTTAGAAAACACATTTAAAGGAGATTTATGCAAGTAGAAGAAAGATTTTTGTTGGTAGACAAGTCACATCAACAAAATTTGACAGAACCATTTGAACAGCGTAACCAGCTGCTGCGTAAGTTTGTCTGAAGTGCTTGTTCCATCATTCCTGGAAGCTGCAGAGAACAAGGTTTTCAGGACTTTTGGGAGTAAAAGGCTATTACTCAGGCCTGTTTCAATATATCTCTATAGCAAATGGATGTAGTAGTGTATACAGGCAAAATGGACAATAAAAAATGAATAATGCTAAACTGTCACAGCAAGTCCACAGCAAGTAATGTCTGCCGGGAACAGAAAAATAAAAATCTACAAAACTGTCTTTCTATCTCATTTGATGTATAGCATATATTGATCATTTCAAATGTCCTCCTTACAAAGACCGAGCCTTTCTGAGTTCAAGAAGCTTTTAGACAGCACTGTCAGGCACATGGTGTGGTTCTCAGGGACTCCTGTGCAGGGTCAGGAGTTGCAGTCAGTGTTCCTCTTGGGTCCCTTCCAGCTCAACATATTCTGTGATTCTAGGATTCTATTATTTGAGGGTGGGGAGGAAGGGAATGAGGGTTTCATGCTATATATTGTATTCCCTTTAAGTTTTTCTGTGAGCTGGCAGCAATATACATTATTTGTTTTCATTTATTTTATTCTGGAAGTAAGTTGTCACAGTAGAACAGCTAACAGCTTCCATGTGCTGTGAAGATAATATCACAGAAGGACAATGGCATTGTAATTACATACAATGTCTTTAGAAATATGACTCTTGCAGGGTTGAAGACTGCTTCAGACTTTCAAATTAGTCTGGATGACCCCATCTTTATTGCCGTTGAATTTCTGGAAACGATGAAATGCCAAGTCATTGAAAATAACTGATAAAAGCCTAAACAATGAGAAATTAATAATTTAGTCTTTGACTTCATCTAAGTCCCATATGCTTTTCATCCAGGTGCAATATTTTATAGGGAAATGCTTGTTTTAGTGAATCTGAGTGATCTTCAGATCACTAAAAATAGATCAATTTGTCAAAGATGGAAAAATCTTTGTTCATATGCTCTTACATTTGATTTTCACTAAAATTGTGGATGCAAACAGCAGTGACTGCAGCAATGATTTCTGTTATCTGATATAAGTGCCAGTAAATGACTGGGACATCAGGGCTAGGACTATGTTGCAGAAACTTAATATAAGATTCAAGTGTAGATATAGGCCTTTTTGGTCTCTTTACTTCATAATTTGCATAGCAGGGAGCCAGTAATACATGTGCTTATAAATGACATTAAATAAGAGGAGGATTTCTGATTGTATCATGATTACCATGTTGAAATTTTGTTCTTTAGTCAGAATCACTGAATTACATCTGAGAAATAGCTGAGACTATCTTGTCATTACACCATTTTGTGTCATAATAATCCTTTCCTGCTGTTAGACAAACACTAAGAAGTACAGCTTCCTTTAGTATGTTCCCTTGGAAAGAAATGTAGTGAAATGATAAATGCTCAGTCTTCAGTAGCTCAGTCAATGGATAATACAATCCTATACACTGTGATGTCCAGAAGTAAATGCTGACACAAGCTGACTTTACTTATGGGGATTTTCTCTAAGAAAAAAGGCAAAGTTTGCCTTCTGGTATACTTTGCATACTGTTGGCCAGAGTGGGGGAAGCAAACAGAAGAGATTTTTTCAGAGGCAATCAAACAGACAATTATATAGGTATTATACCTCAAATGACTAGCTCAGAAAAGAGTAAGTCTGCTCCTAATCCAGGAGTGCTAATGTCATTTTGTTCCTCACCTGAAAATATTGTGAAGCTGAAAAAGCTGACACAGCATGCATTGTAAGGAGATAACGACAGGGAACATTGCTGTTTAATTCAGCAGCTGAATGTGAAAGTCATCTATCCCGCTGTTACATAATATACAGCTTTTCAGAGCCTCATTTTGTGATATGTGGCTTAACCACTGCCGGGTGGAAATCTCTGAGACATCCCCCTAGTGTGCCTCCCAAGAGTCACAGGTGCCTCTCCTGCTATGCTGTTGAAAAAGAGGTGCAAATTTCCTCCCACATGTCACACATAGCAGAACCGAGCAGGCCACTGCTGATGTTTTCTGAAGGGGCTGCTCTGTGAGAGCTGTGGAACATTGACCCAGGAAAACAAAATGAACCAAGGGAAATAAAATGATGGGGCTAGCTTTGTGGAGAGAAAGGATGAAGGGAATCAAACATCCTGGGCTTAAAACCAGCTCCAAAAGTTGCTGGCAGTTTTGGCAGCAGAGACTGCTACATGAAAAAAGGTGAGCTCTGCCTGCCCACTGTAAACACTGATGGTGGAGGTGTTAACTGGCAGCTGAGCAAAGTAATAACTCCAGCAAGAGGTGCAACTAAACACGGAATACAGACACTTCAGGAGTAGTGAAATAGGTCAGGGCACCATGTTACAAGCCCAGGCCTGCTGCTACCGCTGTTGCTAAAATCAAGGCTGCCTCAAAGCACTTTGGACTTTCACATTTAGCTCTATTATGTCTAGCATTTTTCAACATAGTTGTTCGCTGAATGAAACCATTTCCTCCTTACATGTCAGCAGCAACACTTATTTTAAAAGTGTGTAATTTTTGGTGGCTTGTTTTTTTTTTTTTTTTTGTTAAATTATAGATTGTAGTAAATAATCTGAAAGCAAAAGTGTTCTAAGCTAAAAATTGTTTAGCCCTGAAATTTTAGTAAGAGCACCCTCTGGTGGTTCATGTATGAACAATACTCTATATCTTCTAAAAGCAGTTGTATATTTATAGTACAGAATTTTAAAGAACTGGGTGAAAACTTTTTCTATTGAATTCTTCCTTTCAATCAACATGAAAGTCATAAATATGCTTTCTAAAAAAAACAAACCAAACCAGAAACAAACAAACAAAAAAACAACCACAAAAAAACCACAAAAAACCCCAAGCAAATGAAAAAGGAAAAACAAAATTAAAAACAAAAAAAAACCCAAAAGGACTACTACTATCTATAAGTACAATCTAATTCAAGAGAGTCAACAACGTGTGAAAAATTATAGATAGAAATATAGATATATATCTCAAGAGATATGTATGCTAATGCCTTTGCCATTGCAATGGACAAAATCTAGAATGTAAGGAGTCAATAGATAAAACTGGAATATATTTTTCAAAACCTTTGTTGTTTTCATCTCCTATTTTTAATTAGATTATTTAGGTCTTTTTATTTTGCCCAGTCTCCATGATTTTAATCAGAAATACCTGTTGTAATTACCAAGAAATCCCAAGAATGACTGTCTATCACTTTGTCACAGGTATCTTCCACTTAAAAGTACCTGAGACCTCTCACGTTGGTTCTGCTATTGGACGGATCAGAGCTGTGGACCCTGATTTTGGGAAAAATGCAGAAATTGAGTACAACATAGTTCCAGGAGATGGAGGAAACTTGTTTGACATCACAACAGATGAGTACACCCAGGAAGGAGTCATTAAACTGAAAAAGGTATGTGGCACCAATGGGTGAATGTGCCTGTGTCTCATGTGGTAAACCAGCTAAAGAAATTAAATGTTTCACAATTTTACATCATAAGTAGCTCACAGTAGTAGTGCTACGTAAGTAGTTTATATCTCTATTTGAATCCACAGTTGTGATCTTCATTTTAAAATGCATTGCAGTTTAATCTTTCATTTCACATACAATTAGGTGTGATGTTTCATAAATAATGTCATGGTGAAGAAGCAATTCTAATCTCTGTCTAGAAAGTACAATTTCTCTTGCTTGGGAAGTTTTCTACCTAAAACATTGCAAAAAACATTTTAATTCAGGGCATGGAATGAAAGAGTTGTATTTTATGTTAGATAGAATGTAATAAACTTTGATTTATAAGCATTTTTATTTTGAAAATTTTGACTTTGTGTTTGCTATTTTGAGAATGAATATTGTATAGTACTAAGGTGAACACAGTTTTTATTCAGGATGGAATAGTCCCAAATGACAAATAGCCATGCCCTACTTCCAAACTCGTGATAGCGTTCCAAGTAGTTGGTTATAAGATACTCATGCAGAAAAACACACTGCATCTCAGTCATTGATGTTGCTTTAGTATGCTAGAATAAGTTAAAGATTACTGAATTCATGAATTTCAAAGATGGAGAGGGTGCTTTTCATTTAGAATTTAGTGATTAAAGTAGGAGAAATCAAAACAGGGAATTTCACATTTTAACCAGTTATTATTTTCTGAGCCCAGGCTTTTGCATATACACCAATGGTCAACATGTTCAGTAGAAAGAAATCTGAACCACGGGTCATTTTGGAAGGCATAGTTATGTTTTATAGACAGCTCAGACTTGTAGGTGTAGATTTTGTAAAAAAACCAAATTATTAGCTGAACACTTTGCAAGTGTCTGGGAAGGAAAGAGTTCTGGACATGTATGTTAAGATAAGCTTTAGGAAAAGTGAAGCTTTAATTCTAAGAAAATTTAGAATGCTGGTGCTTAACTTTCCTTGGCTTTGACCATTGATCTATACTTGCATTATATCCATTCTAATAATGGAAGTCCTGGCTTCAACTTCCTGACCTGGGAAATAGTAAATTATCCATGGGTGCATTAAAGAACATGATGATGTCAAGTCACTGACTCTTCTGCTAGTTTTAATGACATAAAATGGAAGCCACTATACTCACAGGAATTTGTCAATGAGACACAAACTCTTTGACCTCTTAACACCCCTCTTCTTTTCTGACTAAAGGTTTGAGTGTTCTGTTTCCTCCTAATGGGAATTTGTAGACTTAGTTTCATTTTTAAAAACCCTTCTGGTCACCTTTATCCCTCCATGCAGATGACTCAAAAATGGGTCCATCTGGAGCTGTCAGGCTGAGCAGCTGCATACCCCTCCATATGCACTGCCAGTTGGAAAATGCAGTAAGCAGGAACCATTAAAAATTAATATTTCATCATCAAGACCAGGTTTTTGATAGAATTCAGTTCTCCTTGCATTAGTCCTAAGCCTCCTCTGTGATTCTTCTTTTTTTTTTTTTCTTTACACAGCAATAGAATTTTCCATATTTGTGGTTAAGTATATTTATTGCCCACTGCTGGTTTTCCAGGTTGGCAGTGATGATGTTGATAAGAAGGGTGCCAGGGTAATTAAAAAGGAACTTCAGGGCTCTGGGTCGATTGGTTGATGAGACAGGAGTGCAGGCAATGCTCTGCTCAATTCCTTCAGTGGCAGAGATGAATGATGAAAGGAACAGGAAAACCCATGCTACCAATAAGTGGTTTAAGGGCTGGTGTCATCAGCACAATTTTGAGTTTTTTGATCATAGGGTAACTTTTACAGCACCAGGCCTGCTAGAGTCAGAGAGGCTCCATCCATCTATCTAACAAGGGCAAAAGGATTTTAGCCCATAAACTGGCTGATTTAGAGGCCTTTAAACTAGGTGTGAAGGGGAAGGGGATGAAACCAGGCTCCCCAGAGATGAGCCTAAGATGGCAAGTCAGAGTCGAGGGTGAGATCAGCCCACCTGAAGTGCATGTACACTAATGTTGTACGGGCAGCAAACAAGAGGAGCTGGAAGCCCTGGCACAGAAGGAAAGCTATGCCATAGTCATCATCACAGAAACACGGTGGGATGACTCACACGACTGAGGTGCTGCAATGGATGGTCACAGGCTTTTCAAGGGGATGGGAGAGGAAGGAGAGGTGGTGGGGTGGCTCTGTACACTGGGGAGTCTCTTGACAAGACAGAATTTGAGGTCAATGTTGATGAGGTTGAGTGCCTATGGGTAAGGATCAGGGGGAAAGCCATCCAGGTGGGAGTCTGTTATAGACCGCCCAACCAGGATGAAGAGGGGGATATATTATTCTGTAAGCAGCTGGAGGATGTTTGAAGATCGCCAGCCAGGGGTGGGGCTCTGCTAGCCCTTCTGTTTACAGAGAGAGAAGGGCTGGTGGGAGATGTGGTGGTCAGAGGCTGTCTGGGGTACAGTGATCATAAGGTTTCCAGTGTTCAGTGAAACAAGGAGGAGTATCAATTAAACTCTACATTGGACTTCTGGAAGGCAAACTTCAGCCTCTTCAGGATGCTGATCAGAGAGTACTTTGGGAAACAGCCCTTAAAAACAAAGGGGTCCAGGAAGGATAGACATTCCTTAAGAAAGAAATCTTGAAGGTGCAGGAGCAGGCTATCCCTATGAGTCAAAAGACTAACTACAAGACAAGCTACAGCTGCAGGCAAAAAGACCCAAAAAACTGATGTGTCTGGACAGGGAGCTTTTGAAGAAACTATGGAGAAAAAAGAGGTTATATAATCTTTGGAAAAGTGGGCAGGCATCTCAGGTAATGTTTAAGGATGTCATTAGGGCATGCAGAAAGAAAATTAGAGAGGTGAAGCAAAAAATAAAATTGACACAACCTCATTTGACTTTGTGGAATTATGCAAATATTTAAGTATGTATTGAAGTCTTTTTAAAAATGAAAGTGGGTGAATGAATAAGACCAACACATTCAATTAAGAACTCTAAATAATAAACAGTGAAAGCTACTAATAAAAAGTGCTATATGCTTTAAAAACAAGTTTGCAATTTCTTCTCTATTATAGCATATTCTATAAGCATATGCTATAAGCATGTGCTGTAAGTGCTGCAGTAATTCAGTGCTGAGCCACTGCAATACCATTTATAAAATTTGCTTTTATTTTCCCTGAAAAGTTTCTTGCAGCCAGAAACTGTCCATCACTGCATAGATGCTTTTTTTGTCTGTTATTATGCAGAAAAACATTGAGAGATTTCTATATCAAAATTGGTAAAAAAATGAAGCCCTCCTGGACTATCTTTATTTTTGGTGGAAAATACATTTGATGAGAAAAAAATAGCACAGACTAAACTGTTCCTTTTAGCACACTGTGTTGATGGATGCAGAAGGCCATTCTCTGCTTCAGGGATGCCATTCTCTACTTTGGAAATGGGTAAGAACAGCTACAGCTGGACAAGTTGAAAATCTTAAATCATCTGTTTTGGTTGGTCATTTTTTCGGTGCATGATCCTATATAAGTTTGATTACTACTAGTATTGTGGTAATTACAAGTGTTAAAAATGAAATGGCTTTTCTTATATTCTGCTAAATAAATCATCCAAATGCCATCCAGCACTACTGTGTGGTTAGTACTGTAATATTTTTTGCCTCTTAAAATAAAAAATAAAGGAAAATAATATCCCTAAAAAAGGGGAGGGGAGAAACTTGGCTTAAGGGTAGTGCTGTATACAGTTCTCTGTAAATAGTCAGAAATATTGCTATATTAGGAATAGAATTGTAATTCCCTCCCTTGTCTAATGTTGTTTAATAAAGTGTTTATTGCATTTGGTATTTAAATAGCATCTTCTATTGTACCTGAATCTTCAGAAACTACAGTGGGTGTAAGCTATAAGAAACATGGTAACAGAAGGGGTCATCGCCTTCATGCCAGGGTATAGTGGCCTCAGATGCATCAGTCCCAGGCAAGGGACTGATTTTGCAATCTTTAATGGCCAGGCACAGCAGTAAACAAAAATAGAAGGTTCCAACCTTCTCTGAAAAGTTGTCAATTTATTAAACCAAGGATGAGTTTATAAAATAAACCCATTTTTTGCAGAAGCCTTTTAATTAGCTCAGCATGTGCTAATCCAGAAACTGAGTAGGGTTCAGGCACTGAACTTGTTCTGCTTGAAAACATCACTTTACTAATTTGTGCAGAGTTTCATTAAAACATTGGAAAACAACTTCTTCTAAGCTTCACCTGTTGTGATCCTACACTGCTCCACTATACTGGGTGAACTTCTCCACATGGTTCAGTGGAAATTCAGGGGACAAACACATCTTGATTTGTGTAAATTGTGCACCATGACTAAAACTAACTGATCAGATGACAAAGCTGTGGCCATGAAATCCCAGCATGTCATAGCATTGGACAATGAGAAACAGTGACTTTAGTGATGATAAAATAGAAGAAATTGGGGGACAATTAACAGAACCAGAAGCTGGAGGATAGTATTGGGAGTGTGTGCTTCCTTTTAACCTCAGGAGGCACTTTTTAGAAGCCTTTAATGCAGTCAGTAAATAGTGCCTTGACTGTGGGCTAAGTTCAGTTGTGCTGCCTGTGGGACAGCCCAAGTACATAGCTCTGGGAAGTTGCTGTAATCTAAGAGTGGTCTGAGAACACCTGTACCACACAAGAGTAAGCATAAGGCAGATTCCCAATGTCCTTCAGTGAGAACTGTGTTAAAACTACTCCTTGCTTTACTATCAAAACTGTACAGACTTCTCATCGCATGCCACCCCACCCATTCTTTATCCAAAGGCAGGGAATTTATTCTGCAAGTGTGAGCACAGGCACTGTCTACCTGTAATTGTAACTCATGGGTTTGTGGGAGTGGGAATAGTGGTTGTGCATTTTGAGGAGGAACAGCAGGTGATATTAAGTCCCTCACTACAGGCAGAAAATGGTGAGCTGTGTGCAGATACGATCATAAAGAGCAACAGACAAAGTAAGGAAGAGGAGACGTTCAGTCTTTGTGGATAGAGCTGTTTGGTCTGGTTTTCCCTGAAACAGGGAAAGACGCCTTCAGAAATTGGTGAGATGCTTGAGAGCAGCAAACAACTGAACCCCTGACACTGGTCAGCTTCTCCCCTTCTCCAGATACAGAACAGACATATATTTTGTCCACTTGCCATCAAATCTTGAAATACTCACTACAGATCTCATTTTCTTACTGTGCATTCTAAACACTTAACTAATGAATGCTCCTGGTTGATCTAGAACCTACTTTACTACTTTGTAATGCCACTTTTTTCTTTATGCTATTTAGAATCCAGTGCAGAAGTCCAGTTAGTGAAACTTAACTGCTCATGCAGAAATTGTGTCAATGCACAGCAAATTGTCTTATGCCAATATTTAACAAAATGCATAGATGCCCAACCCATTTGAAGGAAAAAGTGTTTCCAGCTTTTGAGACCAGCACAGATGACCCAGAGCTATTCTGCAATTGCACAATTCTATTATGAAGTCAAGTCCAATTTATTATGCACTTCCTGTCAAACCAGTCGCACTATCCATAACTATCCATATGTCCTGTCGCTTAAAATCACATCCCAAAATGTAGCTTTTCCATCATTGTAGGTGAAAACCTCAATCAGAAACAATACGCTCTTATGTAGGAGAGTATTTCTTATGTGTGGATATCTGTGGATAAAAAGCAGAAATTTCTGGAGTTTCCAGTCCTGCCTCTTTGTGAAGCAGAACAAACTGACAGGGTAATTATTTTCCCACCCTTGTCGTGCTTATCATTAGAATTCATTGTATCTTTTGGACCATTTTTTTTCTTTCAGTTCTTTAATTATTTCTATCTCTTTCCCACTATAGCAGCATTTCTTCTGCCTTGAATGTGGAAAACAACATTTCAAAATATGTTTATGTCTAATACAGAGCTGTTTTTGTGCTGTCCTAGTCATACTAAATAAGTCCATTCATGGTACTTACAGAGTTGCAAGGTAAAGTGATTTGTCAGTATGTATTTGATTTGGGGTTTTGTAGAATGGCTTTGCTGTGCACAGGTGTGTATATGTTGATAGCACTTTACTAGGCAACTATATAGAGCAGCTGGTAACCTCTACATAGGAAAAGCAGATGAGGAAAAGTTGAGGGGGTCAAATACATCTGTTCTGTCACTGGTACTTAGAATATCAATTAGAAATACTCCTGCTATTTAATAGTTCACAGTTAATAAGGTATCACCTTATTATGAGCAAATATGCTGTTTACTGCACACAAAAAAAACAAAGCAAAACAACAAACTTTGCAAAATAAAAGCTTTATTCAAATTTACCTTCTGCATGTAATTACTTTTATAGAAGGAATACATATTTTTCTTGCTTATTAAAAAAATCTATGAAGTAATTTAATTAAAATCTGTTTTATTGAAAGACATTTCAAGAACCTTACAGGGCTGGTTTGGAGATTTTTGTACAATTCAAACATTTTACTGTGTTTATTTCCTTAGCCCTATTCCAGATTCAAAATGAAAATGGGACTGAGCACCTTCAGACAGTTATTATATAACAGCAAAATACAATGATGGAGGTTTTTGTTTGTTTGTTTGTTTGTTGGGGTTTTGTTGTTTTAGTACAGGTAAAATATTGTGTGGACCACTCATTTTCTTGACAGATTTTAGTGATATCTACTAAAAAATAAAAATATAATGAAATGGGCTTTTTACATGTTTTAAACCAAAAATCAAAAATCCAAAAGGTTTTGCCTGAGACCTATGCAGATGTTAAATTCTACTGCTTTCAGGCAGAGTCTGGACAATTCATAAAAAAACCTAAATCTTAAACTGTCAATGCTATCTATATGACTTAACTGTTCAAATATGGGAAAACCAGAACTGGTCAGGAGACTGTAGCATGCAATCCCCATTCACGCAAGACAATAAAACCATACTCTTGCTACATGATATATGTTGTACAAAATCTTTTTCTATTTGAAATTAAGTCCTAGTTTACCACTTGCAACATTTTTCAACTCTCCATACATTTCAGTTGTGGTTTAGCCTCACCTAGGCTAAAGGCTAATTTCTGCTATTTTGTAAGAGTCTGTCACTGATTTCTTTCTCTCATGATGGCTCATCATTTTCAGCCTGTCTCTTGTTATTTTGACTGCCATCTGTACTTTGCACTGGCCACATAACCCCTAACTATATTTATCATCAGACCCATAGAAGGACAGAAAGAGAAGATGAGTTGCTCTGAGATTACAGTGGAAAAATATTATCGCTTCTTGGGAACACACTGTCTTTTTAAAAATATACTTTAGTATTTTCCCATAATGCTGGGGAGTAGAGAAGTAATGCAGACACTTTACCTGCTTCCTGGGTACCTGTGCAGTAAAATATGCCAGTCTGAACTTATCAATAGACAAAACTGTTTGAAATCTTCCTGCCTTCTTTTCCCCTTGCATCACGAAATGTTGTGACTGGGCACTGCCCATGCACCATGATCTCGCATAAGTGCTTGAAGAGTACTTTGGTGAAAGACAGCCTGCATGAATTACGGCTCTTTCCATTAATACACCTCTTTGCGAATATACTGATGTATTACAGGAGCCAATCTGAAAAGTTTTAATGCAATTTTGGTGGTACGAAAAATACATACAAGGTATTACCCAGAATTACTACCTATATGGGAGCTTAGATTTCTTACTTTCTTTGTCTTAATCATTTATCTCTAGTTTAACCCTTGAATTTTTCTTCTCCTGACTAAGTCCTTAAACTTCATATTTCTCCTCTTATTACGTTTTTTGAAAAAGTGTTACCCAATTAATATACATATCTGGAGAAGAGTTTTCTTTTTTGGGGGGGTAAAATTATTTTGGCAATGCATAACAATAGTGCATTTGTAGTACAGAAAATGAAAATACAGTGTGGGAGCAATTTGTATAATGGACCAACATTTTTATTTTTAGTGAAGGCAATATCTTAGGGTTTCACCACTGGGAGATGAGATCTACCAGACTTAATTTTGTCTGTTTCTTCTCAGGCTTAGTTTCTTCTTCTTTCTGTCAGTGCAGACACAAAGGTGCAGCCCATACTGGCTTTTCTGGTAACTTTGTCTGTAGGAGGATGGTTGTGTTTGGTAGTGAATTACTTTCAAGTCTGATTATTTCTAAGGCATTAAAATTTATGTGGCTAATTTTAAGCCCTCAGCTCAAAAAAAAAAAAAAAAAAAAAAAAAAAAAAAAAAAAAAAAAAAAGGTAGCATCTAGTCTACTGAAATGACAAAGTCTTTTAAGTCTTTTATAAGGATTTATAATCATTATAGTAGCTATTCAGCTAATGCAAGTCAAGGTAACTCAATTGATTTTAATGGGGCTGTTTCAATTTACACCAGTCAGTCATTTGGCCAATTATGTCCTATTGTGATAAAGACAGAAAACTGAAGAATTTAAAATCTATCCTGGCTGCGACAACTGTCTGAAAACACTGGTTCAAAAATAACAGACACTAAAATATTCTTGTTCATACACATGTAAACGTGGTTTTTTTTATTCATTCCTGTTAGGAAATTTCCAGCTTAACAATTATAGGCAGAAACCACTAGGTGCCAGTGTTACCCAGACATCAGGAAAAGGCTTTGTTAGAAATGTTAAAAACAACATGAAAGCCAATGCAGATAAACCCTTTAAATTAAAAATAAAGCTTCTGCATCTTTTCAACTAAATAAGACTGCATTAAGGGTTTTGAGATGACTACTTTTCTAGAAGTAAAGGCACTAAATTGATATGGGTTGACAGAAACCCACATCAAAACAACCTTATTTTGCAGGATACATTCTGTCAAAACCTCACATAACTACACAAAAGCTGCTGTGTCATCTTCAAGACCTTATGAATTACACCTAGGATCATAAGACAGAGCCAAAGTCTGCATTTTGCAAAGTACATGCAGATCAAACATATGGCATGAATAGCGGTTCACTGCTAAGATCGACATTTTACAGGAAAAACTTGTTTCAGATCAAGTGAGAATTCACATTCCAAGTCGTACCTGAAGTTTGGTTTGACTCATTAGTATATATCAGAGTTTTCATTTGGGCTCATCTTCATCACTGTCATGGTCTTCTGAAAGCCTTTCCTGCTAAAAAAAACTAGGAAATCTATTTAAGGAGCTGGATCCGCTAGAGACAGCTGACTGCCGGTGCATGGGAGTTGCAAATGCAAATCTCTGACTAACCTTCACTCAGCTCATTTGCAAGAGATGAATCTCACTCATTTATCTTCAGACATCTACACTGTAACTGTTTACATCTATGCCAGTCATCCTGATTTTTTTGATGTAGAGAAGCAGTAATTTCCTGACTATGATTCATCTGGCCTATTTCAAAATTCACCTTAGCATAAGATGAACTGCAAAACAAACTTAAATGATTGATTAACTCAGGAGATGAGTTTTGCACAAAAGGCATCTTAAGTTTTGTTAGATTAATCCAACCAAAATGATTTTGCAATGCCTAATTTTTAGTCAAATCTAATGTTTTGCTTTTGTTCTTTCTACAGCCATTAGACTTTGAAACAAAGAAGGCATACACCTTTAAGGTGGAGGCCTCCAATCTCCATCTTGACCATCGATTTCACTCAGTGGGTCCATTCAAAGATACTGCCACTGTGAAGATAAACGTCTTGGACATGGATGAACCTCCAGTGTTCAGCAAGCCCACGTACACGATGGAAGTCTATGAGGATACACCGGTGGGGACCATTATAGGTGCAGTGACAGCACAAGACCTTGATGCTGGCAGCAGCTCAGTTAGGTAAGAGAGCTTTTCCTCCTTTAGTAACTCTCTGACAACCCAAAGTGCTGCTGACAGTTGGATGCACTGGCAAAGAACTTAGTATGAAGAGATGAAATATACCTAGTCTGTCACTGTAACAGATAACTGATGCTCTGAAAAAATATTGGAAGAAGATGCTCATTTGAGTGAATTGTCATTAGGTGCTCACAGCTTCTTATCATACTGATCATGTAAGTTACCACACATTGACATGACTTCAAAGGTGGTGTGTTAAGACTAAGGAATAGCATGGTCTCTGGGTGTCACAACCCACTGGTAGAGGACATGATATTTGCTATAAATTCTCCTTCAGTCTGACAAAGACACATGTCAGGGAACATGCTATTATCATACCATCACTATAACTCTGACTCGTAAGGTGTCAGCTAACAAGCCCTTAAATTCTTACAATGGACTTCCACAAGAGTGGTAGCCCTTAATTTTGTAAGGTACACTTCAGTAAGTTCTCAACTCCCATAACAAGCTCCTCAAACCATGCTGGCTCACATGCCACAACGCTCCTCCAGAGAGACTGAGGGGGCCCAATCCATTACTTTTATAGTTAACCTGGTGCACACCTCTTATGTAACGTAGATTTTTCACACTGTTTTGTTGGCATATGCACAGCCAGAATTTCTCCAGGAAATCAGTTGGCAGGTGGAAGCTGAGAATGAGTCTCAAGGTGGAGCAGGATGTTGGCTGAAAACAGCCCAGCCCCACCTCTGCACGATCCTCTCCTCTGATCACACCTTTCCTATAGCAATGCTCAGAAAGTTTGAGACAAAATATGTTTAGGTCTGGTCCTCTACACAGGGTCTTCCACAAAAATATCTCCAAAGTATAGTAGTGAGAAAGAAGGTTATACTTGCTGTGCCTGAGTTAGACCCCAATGGATGACAGAACTGTCCCTTTCACCACTTACTCTCTACATCTTTGAAAGAATGAATGCTCTCATAAACAATCATCAGATGTGTCTTGGCTGAGGCTGTGGGGACATGACTGCTGACCAACATGCTATGTTCAGCACAAGGGAACTCCTGCCAGGCAAACCTCTCATTTATTGCTAGAACTTATTTTAATGAAATAAAAAGGAGGGGGGATCTGGTATACAAATGTAATACATTGATTTTGAGAACCTATTTATAGCCACATTAGAAAGATTAAAGTGAACCAGAGTCATGTACCAATAAGGAAGCTCCTTAAAGCTTAGGCATGGTCTAAGATGTAGGCAGTTGTTAACACATACTTCCAGTACCAATTTGTGCTGGGCCTACCTGACTTCAGGACCTTTTTATCCCCAGATTTTCATAAGAAATATTAGACAGCACATGTCATCAATCTTTAAATATTAATGTTTATCAAATGGGACTATGACAGAACAGGAAAATGCCACAAGTGTCTACCAAGCACATGTAAATTCATGCATATTTGATTACAAATTGAATTTGGACTTTTAAAATCCATCTTTATTAATTATGTGTGTTTTGGCTCAATACTTATAATCTCAAAACATATAATAAGCATGTTAGTTGTAATCACATGCAAAAATTTAACATACATCAGTGACTGTTTAGCTCCTGCTTTGTCAAGTCATTAATTTTTGCTTAAAACTATTACTATTGATGTTTGTTTCACTTGTTTTTAATATAATTTTCATTTTTTTAAAATATAGAAATGTGTTTGTCTATGACTCTGTGACACATTCCTTCTCTGACAAAGGATCAAAACCTTCACTAACAAAGACTGAAGTCTGAACCTTTTTCCCTGGTGGTAGCCTATGAAAGAAAATAGCCCCAGTGAAGTCAATATTCTGTTGAAAACCATACTCTCTTGCAACCAGATAGAAAGCCTTTAATCACATTGTTGAGCAGTTTTTCATATGACAGTGGAATCATTTGGATGTATAACCAGTCTTCAGTGAGAGGTGTTTTTTTTGGTTTTTTTTTTTTCACAAACTCTCCTGGGAGACTCAAGTGCTTTTTACTGATTCTGTATTTGCAACTACACAAGAAAAATAATTGTCTCTCGATGGTTTATCCACATAATGTGTTCACTGGAATATTGAATCCTAAGCCATTTTATAAGGTCCATGACTACTGTTTTTTAACCCTGAATTCATTGCTTAAGTGTCCAAATGCCCATCTACAGTTAATACATTTTAGTCTCACTGCTCTTTCTGGTGACCCATTATACCAATAAGCTGCGTAGGGGTCCCATAAATGCTCCCAGGGTCACATTTATGAGTTGATTCAGCTGGTTCATGTCCACAGAAAAACATGAACCATGTCCCAGAATGTTCTGGTGTTTTTCAGTGGTGTGACTTTGGGTATTTGTGCATCTACATGAGTTAATTCAGAGTCATATTTTCTACCTTTGCAGCAATGTCCTGCCCCAGTACAGCAGCTCAGATAGGTTTGCCCCTGTTTCCAGTTAGTCTTCTTCCACTGGGGCAGCCACCACCACAGGACATTAGACACCATCCAGAAGTCAGTGTAGAGATAGAATCCAGGACACTTTTTTTTATTCAGAGATCTCCAGAGCTAGTTGGATGGCTTTCACTTCTGCAAGTAGGTTTGCCTCTCCTTCTCCTTGTGTAGGACTCCACACAGCAGCTTACCACCTCCAATGGTTTCCTACCACTCAGAAAGATCCATCAGTAAATAGAGCATGGCCTCTTTTTGTTTTGGGACAACTTGTTATATGATGGTGCTTCTTTGGCACTTTGAGCCACCTTCCTCCATATGGCCATTGTGCAAAGGGCATCCTCTGGATCTTTAGGGACTGTCTTGGGGTGATTTTATAATGATACTTTATTCGTCATTGTCTGCTTATGCCCAGAAACAGCTGCTTTCTTTTCATTTTTCTTTTTTTTCCCCTTGAACTATTTCTGCTTTTTTTTTTTTCTTTTGACCTTTTTTTTACCCATCTGGGGAGCTGGTGGGGAGGCTACCCCAAACTTGAGACCTCAAAGCAGCTGAACCAACATGAGAAAGGACATTAAAACCCACCAGCTTCTCCTTCTGCAAGGAGGAGACTAACATCAGAAAAATTCCCATCTGTTCTGCCTGAGTGGCTATGCTAACTCCTGTTCCTCCCTTTCCCTGATACAAAGAGCAGCTTCCATGTTTGCTTCATGGTTATGCTGTCTGGTGGGGAGTTAGGGTGAAGTTTTTGAAATTTCAGTATCTAGCATTTATTTAATCCTTATGGGCACCCTTTTGTTTTTTCCTTTGTTAATAAACAGTTTTGGGGATTTTTTTGGCTTTCACCTGCTAGGATTTATTTCTCTCATTGGCAAACAGGATGATCAAAGCCCTTCTCTCCAGAGGAAAAGCTCATTTCAGGGCATTTTCTCCTAAAATTTGTCCCTAAACATAGACAGGGACACTATCCCTTTTTACTTAACTATAGAGCACTTCCAGGACTTCTAATTTCTCAAGGACTGGATACCTTAATCTGCAGTGATCCACCTTCCCGGAGAATTCACAAGATCTTCCTTAAATGGATTTTGTGCCCTCATGCTTTAGAGAGGTCATCTCTAGAGACTGCAAATTGCTCCTTCTTTTCCAATTTCTCCTTCAATTTCCCCATCTCTAGCAAGGGATTTCAGTTGTTGTGGCCTCATGACCTTCTAATTGCTGACTGTCAGCCCTGTTATCCCAGCATCACCTGGCTGGCGACTCTAGTCTTTCTGCAAGTCTCAAAGTTCTGATGAGGTCAAGGAACAGGTAACTTCAGGTTTCTATTTGATTTGTCTCACTCCTTCAAACTTATTTGTTGAATGACCAGCTTTTTCATCTGACCTCTCCTCTCTCTCTTCTCCTTCTCCTTCTCCTCGTTTTCCTCTTCCTCCCTTTCTTATCAATTATATGGACCAATAGCTTCCCCTATCCATTACTTTGTTTCCACTGCTGCTGCAAGTACTGTAGTTGCTGTGGTTTGAGTCCCTGTGTCAGCCATAGTGTCCTCAAATGCAGTTTGGGTTCCTGCCTCAACTACAGTCCTCTGTGAGGTCTGAACAGTGGCTCAGCAGGCACAGGTCCAGCCCCAGCACAGGGCAAGAAGCTGCTGGCTTTCACTGGGGTGGGAAGGCACCCTTCCATCATTGACGGGTCAGTGCAAGGGTTGGTTACGTGTTCAGGTATAAAGTCACAGGTAACTGGAGGCAATAACCACCCTAGGAACCTGCCCAAATCCTTCCATATACCCTGCCACCCAAAAACTGGATGTCTCAGAGCACATTTCAATATCTCCATACTCAAAGTTAGTCTTCTCTTACACCAGGACAACACCAGATTCCGCAAATCCCATAGTGTGCCAATAGTATTCCTTAATACTATTAACAGTATTAAGCATCTTAAATAAGGATGAGCAATGCCCATGGCAGCCTGCATTATAAACCCACTCACATCAATTTTGGGCAGGGAGAGGGAGATGTATTTCCTCATCATCCACAGAAGATAGCTCTCCCCACTAAACAAGGTTGCCATGTCAGGGCAAAGCACAGAGCTATAGTTTGTGTTAACACGTTCCCAGCAAATGCAGCAAAACAGAGAGATAAGGAGCATAGCTGACAAACCTCATGTCCCACAAAGGAGCTTGCTACTAGATAACTGCTATTACTCTAGCATGCAATATCAAGAGATAGATAGATAGGCAGACAATCAGACAGTCAGAGAGAGAGAGAGATGGAACTGCCTTTGTCTCTCTCCATGGGCACTAAAAAAGGTTGTGGTGACATGCCACATGCCCACCAAGCCACTCTATCACTCCCCTTCCCAGGTGGATGGGGAGTGAAAATAAGATGGAAAACAACTCGATAAGGCAGCTTAGTAAAGCAAAAAATGGAGCTTTGTGCATGCATAAGTGAAGAGAACAAAAAAAAAAAAAAAAAAAAAATTTCCTCTACTTCCTATCAGCAAGGGGTGTTCAGCCACTTCCCGGGATGCAGGACTTCAACACACATAGTGCTTTCTCTG